TAGCAATGTTTTTGTTGTTGCTTTTCTCAGTTGTTCGGTTCTTCCTATAATTCTGTGAGCTAACCTAATAAATAGTGTGTGTGTATGTGTGTGTGTGTGTGTGTGTGTGTGAGAGAGAGAGAGAGAGAGAGAGAGAGAGAGAGAGAGAGAGTGAGTGTATGTGAGTGTGTGTATGTGTGTATAGGTGTACATCTTTTACCTATATCATCCCAGGGAAATCCAACTTCTGAAGTGAGAATTTCTGTTGATTTCTAGACTTTGGATGATATTTTCCAAAATGTATATTTCCAGATTCATTGGATTGTCTCAAAAGGGATAGCAAGATGGAAAGACTCAGGAGTCAAAAGTAGTGCTAAGATCATTATCTCCTGAACTTTTCCATTATGTTAATTTTCTTTTCTCCTTCATAACTGAATTCTCAGGATCTTCTTTCTCTTTCTAAACTATGGACAGATCATGCCCTTCAAAACACTAAAATTGGGAAATAGTGAAGGAATTCAACTTTTATAGCAAGAATATAAGAAGTTTGGTTCCAGGACGCATATGAAATAGATCATTACTGCCTTAAAAATGTGATTTCAGAAAACAAATTAAATGTCTAGTGACTTCATCCATTAAGTTTTTGGTCTTAATCTTGGACAGTTGCAAATACTATCTAAGAATGTACAGTGATCTCTGGGCATACCTGGTATTATGGTTTGGACATGAAGCATCCCCTGAAAAGCTCCTATGTAAGAGAATGCAGAATGGTTCCTAGGTGAATGATTAGATCATTTTGTAACCCAATCTGTGGGTTAATCCACTGATATGGATTAACTAGATGTAACTCTAGATAGGTAGAATATGACTGGAGGACATAGGTCACTGAGAGAGTCCCTTTGTAGTTTATATTTTGTCCTTGGTAACACAGCTCACTTGCTCGCTCTATCTATCTATCTATCTATCTATCTATCTATCTATCTATCTATCTATCTCTGCTTCCTGATTGTCATGTCCTGAGCTGCTTTTCTCCACCATGCTCTTCCACAACTTGACTCATCTCAGGACCACAGCAATGGAGCTGACTATGTATGAATTTAGACCCCAAATAAACTTTTACTCCTCTCATATTGTTCTTGTTGGGTCTTTTGGTCACAGCAACAAAAGGCTTACTAAAAACCTGGACATACCTTCACATTCCTGATGAACTCCTGGGCATAAGTATGTGTGTGTACACACACACACACACACACACACACACAAGCACACACTTGAATATTTTTTAGACATGAGAAATGGAATCCTGTAATTTGTGACAACATGGATGAGCCTGAAGGACATTACATTAAGTGAAGTCAAGTTCAGAAAAACAAATACCACAACTTCTCATTACTTACACCTATACCTGGAAGCTAAAAAGTTGAGCTCATAGAAGTAGAGGTTAAACAGTGATTACCAAAGCCTGAGAAGTGTAGGGAGATGAGGAGATGGAGAAATAATGGTTATTATGCACAGGGGTTCAGTTAGAAACAAAGAATCTCTTCTAATGTTCTATAGAACAGTAGAATAAATATGATTGACCATAAATACTTGCATAGCTAATAGAGAAGATTTTGAATATTCAAAACACAAAAAATAATAATTTGATTTTTAGGTAACTGATATGCCAATTATCTTGATCTGATCATTAAATATTGTGTATGTGTATCACACTGTTACCCCATAAATATGTGCAATTATTATCTACCAGTTAATAATTTAAAAATATATTAAGAACAAAAGAAAATCTTTAAACTGACTTTCTATCTGGTAGCCTTGCTACTTGTTGAAAACAAAACTGTTGTGAACCTTGGGTAAACACTGTGAAACTTACAGTGGGAGGGGAGGGCAGGCAGCCTGAGCTTCATGGACTCTGTTCGCAGTGTCCCTTACTCCTGCACTTCTGGGCTTTCACTCACCTCCAGATTTTATAGCAACCTCATTTCTTATTTAGAGTTCCTTAAATTCTTTAGAACTGCCACTCTAAACCATTCCAATATTTTTCCAGCTTCTAAAATTCCATCTCTCTCCAGGCTAGGTGTGGTGGCGCACACTTGTAATCCCAGTGGCTCAGGAGGCTGAGGCAGGAGGATTGCCAGTTCAAAGCCAGCCTAAGCAAAAGCGAGCTAAGCAACTCAGTGAGACTCTGTCTCTAAATAAAATACAAAATAGGACTCCAGTGGCCAAGTGCCCCTGAGTTCAATCCCTGGTACCAAAAAAAAAAAAAAAATACCTCTCCAAATTCACCTCATTTGGTCCTAATCACTCTTCTACTTAGCAAACCCCCAGAACTCCCCAATGTTACCACTAAAGATGCCTCACCTACCTGGTCTTTCACTAAGATATTCTCTATGCTTGTGTACAATTTCCAGTTGGCCTCAATTTTTTTTGATGTGCCTGCCAGCCCTTTAGTAATAATGCTAATTCTGAAAAGCCAGTATGGATGGCTTAGAATGCTCCAGACACATTGTTAAGTAACTTACTGGCAGAATATTTAGAACACTGTTTGGCACATAGTTAAGTGAATAACACAGGTTTGTTATTATTTATAGCTCTATGAACTTGGTATCATTATCATGATCTCCATTTCATGGATAAGGAATCTGTGAGGCACAGAGAGTTGAATAACTTGCCCAGGATCAAACACCTCAATAAGGATCAGAGACACAACTTTATCTCAGTTTGTTTGACAATAATATTTATCCATGTCCTTAACCTTTAAAAAAGTAATTTGCTAACTATACACATACTTACCAACCATTTTATGATAATTTTCCTGAAGATTTCAGAGCAGTGTAATTTGTACTTAAAGTGGGTTTTACTTCGGTATTTATTGTGCTTTTAAAATTCAGCTTATAGACATAAGGGGAAAAGTCACAAGTATTTGTGTGTCTCTGGAGATTTTCATTTTGAAATTTAGAGGCCACTGAAATATGTGTCCTTAGGGAGAACAATTTTTAAAACACTTTTAAGTTGCTAAGGAACTGAGTTTTTGGTTTTCGTTTTTAACTGTTGATGTGCTGCTTCAGTTGGCCTCTTTGATTATTTTTTTCTTCAATATTTCTCAGCCACCAATAGGTCACATTTGCTCTGATTGAAACAGCTAGACCTTGTTAAGAGCTGAGCAAATATTAAAACTTCTTGAGTGTATTATAATATAAATGATCAATAATAATATTAAAGACTCAAACCTGAGCATGTCATGCATCTTCTTAAAGTTTTTTTTTTTTTTTTGGAGTACATTCTCATCTGTCACTCAAACTGCTACAATGTTGAGAGCTTCTCTCCTAGTCTATATAGTAGAAGTGCCCCTTTCTCTGTCCTCTCCCCGGGTTCCTAAGAGGTCCTTTGCTGGCCTGCCATCTCCCTTCCTCCTCTTCTCTCTCCCTCCCTCCCTCTCTGTCCTAGGCCACCCAGCCCGTTTTGTTTTTTCCCTTTGCTGTTTGAGCCTCTTAGAGAGAAGCAAGGATCATTGGACCGGGTCCTGGGGCCCTCTGAAAGGCTCCCGGGGTCTCTGGGGAGTAGTCAGATGACAAACTCTCAACCCAACCAGAACGGGTGCCCGGAATCCTTCCCACTAGGCAGACACAGGAACCTAGATCCCATCCTGGAACTGCCAAACCCAGGGCTCCGCCCACCCCTCCCGCCACCACCAGGCACAATTGCCTCCCTCCGGATTTCCAACAGGGTGAACGAATGGGCTTGGAGGAGACTCCAGATGCCAGAGACGCGTCTTGAAAAACGTGTCATTTAGAAGAAAGTCTGTTCCCTACAGGGAGTGCAGTTGGCAGCTGTAGCCACAGTCGGTTGCGAGAAAGCTCCCCACCTGGGGAAGCCAGGCGGCTCACGTGCGCGCTCGGCAGGGAGGACGCGGCGGCCGCGGGACTCGAACCGGTGGTCCAGAGGCGTCCTGGGGTCTGTCTGCGGCCTGGCCTGCTGGCCCAAATTAAAGTGGGAGGAAGCCGGCGTGCACAGCTGTCGTCGGTCCGGCTGAGGCCTCCGCTCCCTGCCTTCTCCCCTCTCTCCCGCCTCCCGCCCCAGAAATGATCTCAAGCGTTGCCAGTTTGATTCCAGAGCCCCACTCGGGTGGGTTCTTTTGTTTCTTTGTTTTAATGACAGTTCCCAGCCCTTCGGCATGTCATGCGCAATTAATTCCCTGGCTCTCTTGAAGGCAGCTGGGGTGAAATTTTTTTCTGCATCATCCTTTTGGGGATAATTGTTTATGATGTGACGTCAACGGATTGCTTTTTTTCTCTCTTGAATGGAGGTGACGGCGAGAGAGCGAAAGCGAGAGAGAGAGAGAGAGAGAGAGAGAGAGAGAGAGAGAGAGAGAGAGACTCACAGATGTGCGCAGAAGCCACGGATACTGACATTTGGCATTCCTTCAGGGCAAAAGGAGGTTGGAATGGGAGCGTTAAAAGCGTGTTGCCAAGACTTCGGGCTGCACGGAATTATTAAGAAGTTTTTCTTAAAAAAAAAAAAAAAATCCCCGCCGCAGCGAGCCACTTAGGTGCTCCTTTCATGCTAGAGTCCGCTGTTCAGGTGGCAGCGCCTGATAATTAATCTCGGGCACCCAGGCGCTGCAATAGGCTTAAGAAGAAGACGCGGAGGGGCGGGGGGAAGTGCGTCACCAGGTGGGGAAGGGGCGATGTATTTGGTGACAAACGGGAGGCGCTGGGGTGGAGAGGAATGGGGAAGGGAAATAGGTTCCGTGTGCTCTCCGGGGGTATTGTGTCAGGAGATGCAGGCTGGCTACCATGTGACGCGGTCCAGAGCTGAAGGGATTGGCCGAGGCAGCGCAGGCGGTGCAGCTCGGCCGGCTTGCTGTTCCTCTGCCTTTCTCTCTCAGCATCTTCCTGGGAGCCTGTAGGTGAAGCAGCACCAGCAAGCATCCATGGCCTGTCTTTCGGGTTAACACTTGTCTCCTTTGGCTTTGGCAGCTGACACTGCAGACCTCAGCAGCGGCGTTGTGAGGACTTAACTGAGACCTGGAAGCGTATCCTCCTGTGTTTTTTCAGACTCCTTGGAAATTAAGGAATGCAATTCTGCCACCATGATGGAAGGTAGGATGCTTTCTGCTGATGTTGGCTGGCTTCGGGCAAGATTTGGGCAAAACAGCACGGAAGAATGTGTGCAGCCAGTGTTGGTGGCCATTCTAGAACCTGGTTGCCAGGGTTTTGCAAGCATAAATGCTGCAGTTTCCTTGCAGAGAACCAGGGCTTGGACTAATGGAATCAACCACAGGGCTTCTGTCTAGCTCAGAACCTACAGAGAGCTCCCAGCTCCTTTAAGACAGAAAAGCCTAAAGTATTTGTAGGAAGCTGAGCTAGAGCTAGGAAAGAGCTTGCAGAGCAAATAAGTTGGGAGAGAAGATAAGGTTTTCTTTGCTCGGTTCCTGGAACTACACTGATTAAACATTTACAATGGAAACTTGTTTTCTGAAATTGACATTAGACAGGAGAGGTCATTTACAGAGTTATCCATACTGTCATTTTCAGTGAGCTGCTTAAAATTAAAAAAAAAAATCTTATAAGATATTTTTGTCTCTGCAATTTATATCATATAATTAGAGTGATGTTTACAGCAAATTTGGTCCATGAACTGAAGTTTTACATTTATGCCATTGCAAAGAATGAACAATATAAGGAAAATATCTGGGCCTCTTGGCTCCTGAATCAAGATCTTATCAGGTTAAAAAAAAATGTGCTTCCTAAAAGCTTTCCCCATGCAATGGTTCTTAGCTAAGCATCAAATGATTACTTGCTGATTATCTTTTTGCATTCAATATTAAGTGTAAGGAGGAACTTTCCCTGGGGAGATGCTATTTAAACTATATATTATTCTACCAAATTACCCTTCCCAGGCTGAGATAGTGACAGCCAAGATTGCCTCAAAAAAGCTGCAAGCAGATCAGGAAAGAAGCAGTCAGCTCTATGCGAGCTTTGATTTTCTGTTTTCACACTACAGGATGGTGCAAAACTCCTGGCCTTTCCTAAGATGACAGGCAGAAATTTGTCCCCAGCCTGGATTTTACAATGCAGAATTGAGTGCATAATGGGTTTCAAATCAGCCATGAAAATGGCAGAGAGGCCACCTCTTAAGCCAAAGTCTGTCTTTCCAATTTTAAATATTCCTTAGAAATTTACCAAAATGGAATTAAGGGAAGGATGGTTTCAAAAAAACAGCAGTGTACTTATTTGGCAGAAATGAATTCTTTTTGCTCTTTCTGTCATCATGTCAAATGTTGTTAGTGTGATTTGGGGGAGTGAAGAATTCCAGAGTCAAAACCCATAGATTTTGGAAAATAGCCTTATAAGAGAGATTGGGTATCATTTTGTTATGGAACCTGATCTTGTTTGTAAAGGGATCTGAAGCTAGTTCTTTATATATAGGCAGGCCTAAATAAATTGAGACTGCTAGCACTCTAAGATTAAACCATTTTTCATTAATTCAAAATGAGTTTAATCTTTGAATAACAAGGAAAGGCAAAGAGAGCATCACTTATGTACTTTTCAATTAAAAGTCTATGTGGATTATCTTCTTCAGTTTTTTTTTTTTTTTAAATCTTCTATATGGAAGCACTGTATTTTGCCAGATAAATTTCTTGTAGCTTTTCATAAAAATGCATCTACACTCATTCTGATTAGATTCCAGTTATATATGGGCAATTGGAAGGTCTAACATTGTACTTCTTGCCTTGCAAACTACAGAGCTAGTGTCTTCTCTGAAGGTAGTAACATTTATTGATGCTCATTAATGATCCTCCCTGGTAATATGGTCTATTGTGCCAACCCAGAATGTCAGTTCAAAGCCCTGTGATAAGCTTATCTGAGCTTCCTAAACTGAAATGAGAACTGTAACAAAGACTTGGGTTGGAGCTGAATTAGCACTATCGCCGGGTTTGCCAAATTTATCTAATGAAGGATATTATCTTAGCTCTGGTAGGAATTAGAGGTGACACTGGATGCAGTTGCCTTGTATCCGACCCTTGCAAGAGAAATTGGACAGATATTGCCACTAGTTTAAAAATTAAAGTGAAGCAAATAATTTTTTCTACCAATAGTCGCTATTTGAATTCTTTTCAAACCTTGTTATTTTAATGGTTCAGTGACCTTGAGAAAGCAGGTAGGGACCTTAACCAGAAATCCATCTGCATGTCAGTGGTCTTCCAACTTAGTTGCCAATCTCTTTGGCAATAATCTGTTTGTGTTTCTGATATTGTATTCCAGAATTTCACCTCTGAATTGCTCTTACTCTGAAGATGTGACATAATGGTTATTTTCACTTAAGTCACCTGAAAAAAAAGCCAAGGTGTTATATCTATCATAGTAACCTTGGAAAGACAAGAACCCCCTAAAAGGCATCCTAAAATGTTGTCTTAGCTGAAATATCAGTGGACTCTGAGAATGTGCCCCCAAACATCTAGCTCATTAAAATCGTGTCTGATCTCAACTTGTACATGTGTCTCTCTCACACACACAGTCACTCACACACATAGTCAGCCACATGAACGGCTCTATGGAGGGGGAGAATGAATGGCTGCAATAGTGTGTGTTCATTCTATATTGCTGAAGTATTTTAATCTGCTGCTCAGAAAAAAAGCATGGCCAGGGCAACTTTTCAAAGCCACTTCTCTACTTTGTGTAAAACAAGAGTAAACAAATATGCAATGGAATGGAGCATAGTTTAGTTTTGTGTCCTTGTTTTTGTGGGACAGGATACAGGCTCCATTCATTCAACAGCCTATTGGGAATCCTGGTCATAGAAGAAGAATGTAACTACCTCCCCAGTGATTCTAAGGTCATGAAAGACAGCTTAATAATTCTGCAGGGACTTAAGGGGGCCACCAGTAGTTTGTGGGTCCATGATTCTATATCAACTATGTATTTTTAAAATACTTGATTTGTTGCTTTCTACATTCTTCCTTTTTTGGCAGTGTTTGGTATTGATTTGTTACTTTTCTGAAGAAAGCCCAATGATATAGATCATATGTGGTATAAATGTGAAGGGAAAGATAAGCAATAAAGGGAATTATTTGCTTAAGTGTGTGTGCATTGGCGACACTTACAATGTAGTCTATTTGGTTAGGGCAACTATTCAGGACTATTTTCCATATATTATTATTAAACTTTAAAAATGGCATTTTTTAAAGTTATGTTTCCAAAGATAGTGAGGCCAAGCCAGTATCTCTTAGAATATCTTTTTATTCATGAGGCTGCCTGGAAAGAACTTTCCTTGTTCATGCAGAAGTGACTGAAAGTGCTTTGTGTTTTTAATTCCATACTCAGGCTTTTAGGTGCTGAATCAGAAAGATAAGTTTCTGGGTGCTGATTGTTTCATACTATATAACAATGTTAAAAATTAGCAAGTGTATTTTAAGGGCTTCATTGAAATTCAGGGTGATTTAAAACATTTTATTACGTTTACTACTGAAAATAAATGTATTTAATGTAGCAATACTTTTGCAGTAATTTTTCTAAATCTCAAAAATAAAAGATAATACACTGACACAGAAAATGATGGAATGAAATTTGAACCTAAGTCCATTCAACAACAAGACTCATAATTTTGGCCTTCTAGAAATTTTTTCTTTTAATTTTGTATGAGGATGGGCAAGGTAGCCAAAATGGAAAAAAAAAAAAAGAGGCCTTTGTTTCTTTAGTTATACATTCCATTTTTCTCCATTTTAAATATGAGAATTTATGGAACCATATCCTTTGGTTCCTTTCTAATTCCTTTTCTGCCAGAATCATTATTTAGATGGTTTGGACACTATTTGAGGTTAACTGAAATTCTGCTATTGCAGTAAGCCCAATAAACAATAAAGGCTTTTTTTCCTATATAGAAATGGAGTTTTATAAAACTTTAAAAAATTCTTTGATGTGATCAAAAAGGAAGAAAGCAACTGAAGCTGGAACTATTTATTTTACAGTTAACTAAGAAGTTTTTAAAGAGAATGCTTCTAATTAGCCCTGCCAGTCCCCTTCCCTCAAATAATGAAGCTACTTTAGAAAATCTAAGCATGTATATGAGATTCTAATATATATCCTATCATTTATATAGTTTTTTTTTCCTTCTCTGGGACTGTGTTGTTTGAGACTCTTTAGATGTATAAGTTCCCATCCAATTTAAGGGTCAACTTTAAAAAGAATACATAGTCTTAAAAAAAAAAAACTTAGATAAACCAAGCTAGATGATTCTGAACAATTCTTTCTGTTGTGATTGGCATATGTGCTACCTGTGTTTCAAATAAACAAGTTGCAGAAAGTCACCAACTCACAGTTTTTATGTCCTCAAAGTTCTTTTGTGAGTTACTGGAACGTGTTTTCTCATAGTAACAGTGACATAAATGATGGTATCACACTAGTCCATTGAAGGCTATTAGCCCAATATTATCGCATATCTGCAATGAGATGTATAAATAACAGTACAGTTACCATAGTGATTAGCCAGAAGGGGAATGATGGCATTAAATATGCTTCTAATTTCAAATATTGCTGTTTGATATTGCTATTAGTCTTCCAGCCTGGTTTATCTAATTATTAACAAAGAAGTTTCAATTAGAGGACAATGAGAAGCTGGTGAGAATATTTGAAGGTGTTGTTAGATATTTTCAAAAATTTTTAAAGACTCATAGCACTGGATTTTTCAATTATTTTCAATTTTACTCTCATTCTTGTGGCTTTTTTTAAATTCAATTTTATCATATTAACTCTTATTAAATGTGAGTAAGGCTATTACATAAATTCAAAAATGGAGTTGAGGGAGAAGGACAGAGAACTTACTGAGATGACTATAAAAAAGGCAAAGGGAGAAAAGGAATAACAGGTTATAATGAATTTGGACTTGTATATCTGAAAAAGTTCCTGAGAATAAATTAACTAAATAAGAAGAAGGAGGTCATAGATACAAGGGGCTGGGAAACATCAAAAGGGAAGAATCCCTTAGGAGAAAGTGATTTATGGGCAGGGGTGCTGGGTCTAAACAAATCGTGTGGTGACTGCCAGATATATCTATGAGCACAGAATGGCTTGATTAGGGTGAGAAAGCTATGGGAGAAGTA